GGAGTCCTATCAAATAAGAAGCTGACTATACATAGGACTGCTAGAAGATCTTTGAGCCTTAAAACCTTAAATACTATCTTTTTGGACTGTTGAGACTATCCTTTTGCACATCAACCGTGGAACTACCTTTTTAACACTCAAGTCGATTACTAGTGTCAGTGTTCTTCTTGAGTCAGTTAGTGAATGTGCTTTAGGAAATCGAGTTGTAATCAAGTGTCTTACATAATTAGTGAATTGAAGTAATTGTTTGAGTTTGCAAGTTAGAGTAACTTGTAAGTCAAATAGTTGAAGTAGGAGAGCTGGAGGGCATTGATTCACAAGTATTGTAATCAATACATTTGGCTTAATTTGTTAGTAAAACTGAAGTTAAAATCTTACGTGGTAGGTCGTGGTTTTTACACATTTCATAAAAAATTGATGCGTTTACTTTACTGTTTATCTCGCTTACTCTTAAAGAGTTATAAGGTAAAGAACCAAATTCATAAGTAATTCAGAAAGGCACTCAAATCAACAGTGGTGTTCTTTTCCAAGTTAAATAGTTATAGTTCTTATTTCAGTTATGAGTTTTTACAAAAAATATTTGCTTAATGCTTTTTTGTCCACAATTTAGTTAACTCTTTTTTGAAGTTTTTATATCAAATCTTTTAAAATCTCACAAAAACTAAAAAAACCCTGATTTTGTTACCTTTCAACAAAAAAAAAATTACTACTAGATGTTTTAACTAAAACAAATATAAAGCAAAAGGCCCTTTAAAAGTTAGGTCTTGAAGGATTTTTTTCAGCATTCCTCTCCTTTTGGATTAAATTATACACATTAGTGCAATGATTTTTTTTACAATATCACTGCTTTTTGATCGGTTATATTAGCTTATGTACTTTGTTTGCGATGTTATATTATCAATTGTTTCTCTCATATTTATATTTAAAAGAAAGAGTTGAAGTTTGATACATTGACGATGTAAAATTCTTTTTTTTTCTTTTTCTGTAAGTCAAGTCCACTAGGCCTTGTGCCTAGTAGTTGTTTTTATAAATAAAAGAGAAATTAGTACAATGAAGGAGAGGGACATGAACCTTACCTCCAAATCTATGGTGGATAAATAATTGATTATCCAAAAAAAGCAATCAATTGAATCCGGTACAATGAGTGAAGTTAGATATATAATGAAGAGTGTATTGCCTATTCTTAATTGGCAGGCAATTGGTATACAAAAACAGTGTGAAATTCTTTTTACATTATCACGTAATTCTCTATTGGAAATAAACATATATTTGCAAAAAGCAAAAGATAATAAGGAACCTGCTGCAATCCACAAAACTACAGTAATAATGTAAACATATTATACACTACCAATGTAAATAATCCAAGTCTAAACATAAAAAGTTTCAAATTTTTTTCAAATGGCAACTCAACTAAAATTAACACATGTTATAAAACAATAAAAGAAGAAAAGAATATTGCAGAGAAAAGTAGAGAGAGCGGATTCTTATTGATTTGGAGTCAATTACAATGAAATAGAACCCCTCTATTTATAGAGAAAAAGTGACTTAGCCACCAAGTAACAAACCCTAAAATCTCTCTAAAATATAGACATTCACCATAAATAAAATACTGTTTATAACACTCCCCCTGAATGTCTATCCAACAGATAATGTGCCTCGTTAAAACCTTAACTAAAATAAAACCCAATGGAAAAAAAATTTTAGAGAAGGAAAAAGAGTACACATGTTTAGAAATACGCCTTTTGGTTGCCTCATTAAAAACCTTACAAGGAAAACCCAGTGGGACAAAACCTTATAAGGGAAAAAGAGTACAATGCGTATTAACTCCCATTATAATGAGAGCATCAATTCACATCTTTGAGCCTTCGCATCCAATCTTGTGCACTAGCTTCTTGAAGGTTGACGTCGGCAGAGATTTGGTGAATAAATCACCCATATTAACTCCAATGATTATGTTGCACCTTGAAAATTCTCGCTATCACATTATCATGCTTATAATTATAGCAAGATACAAATGTGCACAAATTGTACTTAGGATGTAGTACGTCATGACCAAGAATTTTATATGCTTTAAGCGATTTAAATCCTTCAAGAATTGTCATATAAGTCATATAACTTTAATTAGATTCATATCAAGTTTTCATGTCATACTAGACAAATAAGATATGAAAAACTGATTACACATATAATTGACTTTATATTTTCAAGTGTTTGAACTACATGTTCAAAATTACATGTCTTATATATGAAACCAATTCTATTTGAATTTTGTCTCTTCCATTGACCAATATTTTTGTGTCTGTATTCGACAGACTTGAGGTCCTCATCTATACTTAGCGTTATCATAGATTTCGTCGACGAACATTTTATATCAGTTTCAGTATTTTTTCATAAAGACATAACATAGAGATCTCTTCATTCATATTTTCAGGTACCTGAATCTCTCCTGAGTTGTTATGAAGTTTTATGTCATGTGATCTTCTAGATCACTTGACTCCTTTAATATGACCATTTGCTCATCTTCTTTATCAAGAAGTTTATTTGAAACCGATCTGTCTATACGCTTTAAGCATACCATAGACTTTGTCCTTCTAGGACTTAATATGAGCATTTGCAATGAGAATATAATTACTTTCTTTGAGTCAGCGAATGCTTCTGGCATGCTTTGCAATATATTGCAAATGAATTATCTTTTCATGAACTTCAAGTTCATATTATCTTATTTGAGGATCTAAATATACAAATGATCATTCATTCCACGTAACCTTTTCTCAATTGTTTATCATGTCTCCCCCTCATGTTAGAAAAACTAACTTTCTTCAACAATTTTGGAAACTCACCTTGTGTGTTATGGTGTTAATCAAAATATACACCGCACATCAATAATAATAATAATAAGATGAAATTATTTGGTTCCTGACCCTGAACCACTTGTGAGGGGAGAATGTAATATACTTTCGTATATAACCTATATCAAACTGATATAGATAACTTTGTTCTCATAAGCAATAGTTTAGCTATTAAGTGAAGGCACTCAATAAATTATTTTGCTAAACAAACTTATCAAGATGAACTTCTTGAATAGAAAATCTAGAAATTATGCTCGAAATTAAATTATTGAGCAAGTTACCTTGCAAAACACCATGTTGCGAGTTAATAATAATCGCACGTGTAACCATCTCATAGATGCATCTTATGTGGTATACATGGCAGGTGAACGAGCCCATATTCACCTTTGATATTTCCAGCATTCATGGGATTCAATCCCAATTTTAGTTGGTCTATTAATTAATGAGAACAAGCAATATAAGAGAATTCGTAAAGAACCTTCTAGTTCTTTAATATTCACCCATGTGAAATCTCTATTATTTTTGCACATCATACTTAAATTGATATGGCTAAACCAATTATGCCAACTGAATAAATTATCAATATTGATAAACTTCAGATTTACACCATAACGTGTGCAATTATCAATAAACTCCAAGTTTATTATGATATGGGTTTTTATATCAATAAACTTCTACTTTATTGTGGTATTCTTTTGTTTGTGTAGTACAAACTGGAGAATAAAGCGGGTAGCTTTTCACATACATATTATCTCGATGCAAGTTGTTGTAATAGAAGATATTAAATCTTTCCTTTATTTATAGTCTCAGTATGACCAACCGCTTTCGCGAATACTTTAGAAACTCAATTAAGTTTCTTTGAGACTTACTACAACACAATATTGATAATCAATTTTATTCCTCCAAAAAGTAATAATTGGCTCTTCCAGAGCTCTCAATTAATTTGGTACTACCATATATTCATCAACATCCATATGGTGAATATCTCTTTTAAAGAGAAAGTTATACCATTATGGTTATGGTCAAAATTATATGCAAGATATGTTTCATGCATTAATATTATTCTTTAATAATCATATTACCAAAATATTTTGGCGTGCAATAGGTACGTGACCAATGACCATTCATGCCATAATAATGATATTATTTTCTTATATCATCTCAAACCTCCTTCTAGTGGTAAGTGTGCTATATTCACTACCATTAGCACGTTCATATTCTTCCAAGAATAAATATGTATTCAAAAATCAGATGTTGTCACATTCACATCATGAATGGACCATAATCATCTATATGTGCTTTATAAATCTCATGTCAAATCGATGACAAATATTACTTTCACAGATTGAAGGATTATTTTGAGAATCCTTATTATTCTAATCATCACAATGATGACGATTATAATTTCGTCTATTGCCACGTCCACATCCATTGATACCTTGACGGTAATAATTTTATCTTCTTTCAGACTTATCACATATTGCTATCACATTCTCTTAAGGGAATGAGAATGAAGCAAATTCAATGGGACGGGTTTTCACTTCTTGTGCTCACGATCATACATGACTTTGATCATGGCAAGTCATAGAAATTTTACCACTTCGATTGGTTATAATTTCTTACTAACTCCATTAGAGTTGTAATCAAACTTTAGTTTCTTTGCTTGTATTTTAAAATCAAATTATAGAATAAAAGAGAAAAATACGGTAAAATACATACCTTAAATTCAGAATTTAATCATGAAGGAAGTTCATGGAACAATTGACAATCATTATGCTCAATCTCAAAGCTTCTACTCAATTGGTTAGAGTCTCGTGCTAATAACGTGTTATAAAACAATAAAAGAAGAAAAGAATATTGCAGAGAAAAGTAGAGAGAGATGATTCTTATTGATTTTGGAGACAATTATAATGGAATAGAACCCCTCTATTTATAGGAAAAAAGTGACTTAGCCACCAAATAACAAATCCTAAAATCTTTCTAAAATATAGACATTCACCGTAAATAAAATACCCTTTTTTCAATAACTTTTTTTGGAAGGATAATACGGTCATGGGGGTGTGAGATTCGTTTGTCGGTTGATGATTAAGATAAAGACTTTTTTTACATAACTAACAAGTGGGATAAAAATAAAAGAAAAAAATTATATCATATGTCAATCGGCAAATTCTCCCGACCAAATTGAGCTCATATTTTTAATTTACCCGACATTGGACCATTTTGTATATATTATTATGTAAAAAGAATTTTATCATTTAACCTAGCGTAAAGAAGAGAGTTGGACAGTCTTCTTCACCATTTTCTTCTCTTTCTTCAATTTTTAGAATAAAGAGGTCGACGATAGCGGCAATCAAGAGGTCGACGGCGAAGTCAACAACAAAAGCCGAGTATAGAAGCCGACAACAAAATCAGCGATGCCATTGAAGAATGAATCCCAGCGGTAGACATAATTATTTACCCATTTTATGTTGTTTTTGTTCTGCCAAAAAAGAATCTACTTAAAACTGAATCATTATTTTGTTTGAGCAAAGGATTTGCTCTGATATTGTATTCAGATGATTTTCAATATTTATCTTACTTCCTTAAAAAAAAAACTTCCATCTCCATCTTCTCTCCTTTTTAATTTTCAATAACTCCCCCTAATAAACCTTCTTTCTTTTGGTGATTTTGGTATTGAAATGGAGCTTTAGCAGTGGATAGAAGGTATTTTCTAATGTAAATGTTATATAATTGGTGTTTAAATACGCTTATACAATATTATATAATTAAGTATAATTATGTATAAATATGTATAAATGCATATATTTATGAATAATGCGATATAGTTATTTTTTTAAAAGTGTATAAGGGTGCGTATACATTCTTAGTGCATAAGAGACTTTCACGGGAGTTTGACACTTTATTCTTTTATGAATATTTTTATTTTTATTTTTCTGGAATACATCATTAGATATTCTTTATACAAGTTTATACAATGTTATGCATCATTATACATGTAATGTATATGTACAGTTAAAAGTGAAATTGATTTTTTTGTTGTGTTTTTCTTACTATTTCTCGAATAATCTATGCATAAAGTCATTTCCTTGTTGATTTCTCAATAAAATTACGAACATGCAACAAATTTTTTAATGTTTTATTTACATGGATGATTTACTCATCTAGTACGCATACAGGGAGCAAAATTATGTAGCAGATAGCCTAGCCAAATATGCGGCACAACAACAAAATGGAGGCAGCTTGGAGCTTTTTGCCAGTCCACCACCTTTTGTCATGCATCACTACCAAGCTGACTGCCTGGGAATAGACTCTACAAGACTTGTAAATGCCTGTGTTTTTTAAGCTACTACCCCTCCCCTTGTAAATCCACTACAAGCAGTAGTAGTTCCTTATAGTTCAACTAGTACTTTTGTGTATACTACCCCCACTAGGGGAGTAGAACCTAGTAATATGTCTACTACTTGTAATAGTGATGTTATCGGGGGTGCCTAATGAACCCCCACCCTCTGTATGTGTTATCTATATATAGATCTCTCTTTTTAACCAAAAAAAAATTGCTATTTTGATGTTGGGAAAGAAGAAAATTTAAGATTTTTTGAGTTGTGTTGTGGCTGATTTACCTTTTTTATCAAATGCTGATTGTGTGAAATAAGCTATTCTTCGGGCATTAGCCTATTATATATTTTTGGGCTATAAATTTATAAAGTTGTATTTAGGCTATTATATTATAATGTAGCTGTGTGAGCTGTACTTACGTGTAATTCTCTCAAAATAAACCACCAGTATAGCCAGACTTATAAGGTTTCAACTAGTAGGGCAAAAAAGTAAGACCAAGTCTATTTTCTCTAAAACCCACCATCTTTTTTAACCTCAAACAAATTTGACTACCACAATACAAATCACTAACTTCAAGAATGGAAAAATACAACAATCTTTAATTTGCTATCCAAAGTATTTTCGCTATTCTTCTTTTTCCCTTATGAGTTTGTCTCCTCACATACAGGGAAGAATGGAGAGGGAAGCGTTCACCAGTTGATGGATTATCAGACAGCTTCTATCTTTATTTGTGTAATGGTGTGAGTGTATACACTATTATACAACATTATATACTACTATACATTATAAAATACACTACTTGAAAGCCAAAACATCACAAGACTTTTCGATCTCACTGTATATTGTCACGATCCGAAATCCTTATTGCCGGACTGTGATGGCGCTTAACGTCCACTTTCTAGGCAAGCTAACATTAGTACACAACTAATTATTTTAAAACAATTTGTAAGCATTTTAATGGTAAATAAAGCTATAGAAGTTCAAAAATAGATAAAATAATTCCAAACACTGACTAATCAATCCCGGAATTTGGTGTCACAAGTACACGAGCATACTAGAAGAGCTACAACCAAATGTCTGAATGAAAATAAAACTGTTTGAAATTAAACAAATAGTAGAACTAGATGAGGAAGGGGACTCTAGGGCTATGATCTCCGTGCAGCTATACCTCAAGTCTTTGTGAAAGAAAGTTAATTCGAGCGAGCGTCCGCTAGTTGCTGCTGGGAGCTACACTAGAATATGCACAAGAAGTGTAGAAGTGTAGCATGAGTACAACCGACCCATGTACTCTGTACGTGCCAAGCCTAACCTCGACAAATTAGTGAAAGAGGCTATAAGAAGGCACCTACTATGAACCTGTGCGAATATAAATGAATCAATAGCAAAAATAGTGGATAAACAAGAAATTAGCATAAAACCGTTACTGAAAACACATAACAGAGGTCCCTAGAATAACACCTATGCTCAACCTCAGTTCAACATGGATACACTAATAACAAGTAAACAGAGTAATAAATGTCTTCTCCGTTGCGGCGCGCAACCCGATCCACAAATATATATACAATACATAACATGTTTTAATATATATATATATATATATATATATATATATATATATATATATATATATATATATTCAATGTGTGTTCAAAATGCTTTGTTGTTGATAATGATAATGATGTTCGAAAGTGAAAAGGGTGAGCATGAAATATGAGATACGAACAAGTGCTGAGAATGATATTACAATTGTGGCCACTAGTGCCAATGAATTGAAAAGATGTGAAAGGAGTACGAAATGAGATGATGTCACGCCCCAAAATCCGAGGAGCGCGACCGGCGCTCAACCGAGAAAACTCGACTGAGCAAGCCTGATAGGTTTCATACATACAACCCAATCTTTGAATAAAGAGGAAATATACATCATTAATCAAATTCTAGAAACAAGTCTTTAACGATTTCTATTTCATTTCCATTAGCATCTTTGTTCATAATTTAAGATATACAAGTTTTATACATCCTTTCCGAACATCATTATTTCTATTTTAATTCCAATGCCTGTCACTAACTTGAGCGAAGTCTGATCTCGACCCGATCGGCGGTCGCCTCGACACGATCGGCTAGGCCACCTTACCAAGGCGTTTCCCTTTTCCATCAATGATCTCATTTCAATCTTTGTTTCCCATAAATCATTTAATAGGCACTTGGGGCCACAACCATCACATCATATATTTGGCATTAGGCCACATCTCACATCATTCCCAATTTTAATGCTAGATTTGTAATTTAGGAAAATAGGTACACATAAGAGTAATTTAAATTGCAAGCATAGATGAGACTTCACATAGATGGCACAACAATGCAACTTCAATCTAAATTTAAGGTCTAAGCATTTCAATATATAATTCATATCTTTTGCCCCTTTCAAGTTATCAAGATAGCACGCTGATCACATTGAGACACATCTTTGACGCATATAAGGTTACGATACCAATTCATGTGAAATAACAATCGATGCAACAATTCAACTTTAATCTTACCATATTCACACAATCACCGATGAAGCTCAATTTCTAAAAGACGGGGTTTTAACCATACATACCTTGTTTGAGCTTTACTTAAGTTACTACAACGTTCCGAAAATTCTAGCAATCCCAATCTACTTTGAGAGATAACAAAATTGAACACAAATTAGCAAGGTATTCATAGTTTCAGCTCATTTGACCATTTTATAAAATACTAGTTGTGCATCTTGATTTGAAATCTCTTTTACAAGATTTCCTTCATTCCCCAACCCAATCTTTACTTATTTATGTTCAACAATCTTCCCACAAACCTTATTTGTAAATGCATGTATACATAATACTGTTACCCCCCAAGAATCATACCTCAATAACCCATCTTATACCCCAAACACGAAATTAAAGTCTAATGTATAGAACCTTACCTCTTAGATGAAGAACTTGTGATTGGGTTCTTTAATTCTTGAAGATTGATGCAAGATTGGATGATTGAATGTTAGGTTCCTCCTTCTCTCTCTAAAATGCTCTTACCTGTCTCTAGAATGCTCATGAAATCATCCCAAAATGAACCCCAAAGCCTATATATTAAAATGGGGTCGGGTCATGAAAATAAGAAGATTAATCCTCCGAATTCGGGTCTGCGGTCCCATAATGGACCGCAAAATGGGTATGCTGGCGGCAGACGCGTCGCAAAACCCGGTGCCCAAAACTGGGCTACACTGGTCCGATTTGCGACCAGATTGGTAATCGCAGATCAAAAATGCGACAGATTTGCGATCGCAGATTCGACACAGGATCACATTTTTTCCAGCCTTTGGTAATTTTATCATAAATTTGTGTAGGAATGTCCAATTGACGAACGGTTTGAAGCGTTGGAAACTAGACTCGAAGACCTTTCAAATGATAGGTTGCTCATCACATAAAACCTTACATATATATATATATATATATATATATATATNATATATATATATATATATATATATATATATATATATATATATATATATATATATATATATATATATATATATATATATATTAATAACAAGTCTTCTCCATTGCAACGCGCAGCCCGATCCACAAATATATTATAGTTGCTGCGTGCAACCCGACTCCAAACAATAATATCAATATCCGTTGCGGCGTGAAACACGATCCCCACAATAATATCAATAACCGTTGCAGCGTGCAACCCGATCCCACACAATAATAATATTAATGAACATCTACAACCAACAACAACGTAACTCAAATAAAACGGAATAAGGGAAACTACACAATTAAAGTCATAAAACAAATAAAAGTAGCTAGTTAACAACATACTAAATCACGAAGCAAGTAAAGGCAATCAATAACTAAAGGGCACGGATACATGAAAATATTATAAATTAAAGCATATAACGGATAAATACACGAATTTAACAAGTAGATGCAAGTAACAATTAAAGCAGTTAACAAGTAATAACATTGATTAAATGAAGGTAAGAAATAATTTAAAATAACAATAAAAATCCCAACCCGCATGCTTAACCCGTGACACGTATATATACTCATCATCTTGAATATATGTCGTCCCCACATATAAACAAAATAGCAAATAATCCAATCAAGTCAAATTCTCTCAAGTAAAAGTTAACCACGATACCTACCTCTTTCCGCAATCAAATCAACACTCAACCACATCCTTTCCTTTAAAATTAGCCTCCAAACTAATCAAATCTAGCCAAATATATTTCAAATAATTCCAAATAAGGTTTAGAAACTACGAACGAGTGAAAAAGATTCAATTTTAATGAAATTAGAAACAAGTCAACCTGGGCCCGCTTTGTCAAAATTCGAGATTCGGGCCAAAACACGAGTACCCATTCACCCCGAGTGCCGTTATATAATTTGTTTCGAAATCCAACCTCAATTTGAGGTCTAAATATTAATTTTATAAAATCCCTAATTTCTACCCAAAATTCCTAATTTCTACCATAAACTTCATAGATTTAGGTTAAAAATTAATGTGTGATTATGGAAATACATCAAAACTAGTTAAAATTTACTAACCAATAAAGTTGGGATGAAAATCTCCTCAACATCCTCTCTAGTCCGAGCTCTAGTTTTCAAAAATGGTGTTGAATGCAATAATCCCGACTTTCAGAAAATAGTTGGGCGTCAGGTATTCTTCGCGTTCGCGAAGAGCACTGGCCAATTGGCCATCGCGTTCGCAAAGTCCTTCACGCGTTCGTGAAAGCAACCCCAGCCAAACCTCAACGCTCGTGGCTCGTTGGCCGCGTTCGCAAAGAAGGACCATCTTGCCTCCCCCAGTCAACCAAAACTAGCATTCGCGGGAAGCCATTCACGTTCGCGAAGGGCAATCCCCCAGACCCTCGTGTTCGCGTAGTGTACCGGCCCAACCCCAATTTTTCCCCTTTGCGATCACAATAGAGGCTTAGCGATCGCGAAGCACCGGACAACATAAGCCAAAAACCATTAGTTCCACAAGTCTAAAAATGGTCTGAAACCTATCAAAAACTCACTCGAGTCCCTCGGGTTCCAAACATGCACACAAGTGTAATAACATCATATAAACTTGCTCATTACCGCAAATCATCAAAATAGCATCAAATAACAAGAATCAATCATCAAAACTCAAGATGTCAATTTGAAAACTTATTTTTCACAATCTTTCACAAAATTCACCGAAACTCTCTCGGGTC